CTCTCTCTCTCTCTCTCTCTCTCTCTCTCTCTCACACACACACACACACACACACACACACACACACACACACACACACACACACACACGTATGTTCTTTTGGGGTTCTTTTCCTCTTGCATTCCTCAGTTTATAGGTCTTGATTGATCTGTCTGTGTCTGTCTTTGCGTGGGGGTGTGCCTCTGCGGAATTGACCATCCTTGGCTATAGATGACCGACATTGGTCAAACTGGGCATACATGATATCTCTTGTTTTTTTTGTTTTTTTTTTAACACCGTTAATAGTAGTGGTATGTCACTTGCGCCATAAATCTCCCACTTATTCCACACCTCTCAAGAGTCTCAAGTCATGTCACAGAGTCGAACTAGAGTCAAGTGGAACAGGATCCTCTTTCCCCACCGACTCTTCCAAGCCCGTTCCCTTGGCTGTGGTTTTGCAGCATGGTAGATAGCGACAATGAGAATCTCGTTATTCCAAAACAACCATACCTCTAAAAACTTGGTGAAGTAGGGCTTAATGTTTGCGAAGACCTCGTCCGGCGGATACGTTGACTTAACCTGTCACAGCACGAGGTCCAACCAACAGCAGCATGTCAGGCAGAACACCACAACGGCGTCTTCAACCACGACACTGACTCCTGAAGCAGAAGTCATTTGGACTAAACTTACTCATTTTCCCAGCTTCGGCTTAGACCTCTCTCACAGCGTCTTCAGCTGACCCTACCGGTACCTTCTTCCGCCAAATATAATGTACGCTATTGTACGGTCATTATAGCTGTACTTGGGGTATCTGTCAGTCTAAATACAGCTATAGAATGACAGCGCGTTGTATTCGGGGGAAGAAGGTAGATGTGACCCGTGTGTGTTGCTGTGTTCCAAGGTTAATATCAAGAATCAAGATACATTAGAATCGATTAGATGCAACAAAAAAAAAAAAAAGAAAAAAAAAAAGGAATCGATTAGATGCTTTTTATCAGATTTGGCAAGTAGTGCAGTGAGGCTCAGCACCAGAGAGCTCATGTGGTTATGGGACAGGGAAGAATTGACACCTGGCCAAGCCAACCCAAGCCAAGCCAAGCCAAGCCATAAATTTAGGAGCAAGAGAGGGAGGGGTAGACAGACACCACCCGCAATCCGATAAAAAAAATCGTGAAATAAATATAGAAAAAAAAAAGACTCTGAAACTGGCCCTTTTGTAATGCCTGGCCCTTTTCTCGCCATCTCGCTGAAGGTTCTTTTTTTTTTTCTTTTTTTTTTKTTTTGTTTTTGGGAAAAAGCAAGGAAATCCATTATCATGAAAAAACATGAGGCCGGGAATTACTCACAAACAACCCAGAAAGGAATCGTAACTTGTACTGGGACTTCAACCCAGCTCCAGTTCGTGGGCCTTACCCCAGCAACACTTAGCCTTCATCCAATAAACTCAAAAAGAAAATTCTACCAAATAACAAATATACCGAGAATATTAAACTCAACATAACAGAGGTTAGCTATGGGTACCTTCCTAATACTTCCTACTTCTAATATCCTACTTACACTAGTGTCTAAAAGAAACTACTATCTCCGTCTAATCCGACGGAGTGGATCACTACGGATCCGTACCAACCGTGACACTCTCTTTCCCTTTACTTCCCCTCCTGCCTCCTACTGCGGATTAAACAACCGAGTGTCCTGGTTGAACTAGCTACTTAGACATGTTGAAAACTGTATCCTATCTCCATCTGTAATTTTTACCAGTTTTTCCCCTACTGCCCAAGTTTGCATAAACCAAGCCCTCCCCTGAGTTTTGGTATGGCTTTTGCCCGCCTTTCGTCTCCAATCTGCTGCGATCGTGCGGCGCATCGATGCCTTCAGGGTTTCATTTCATTTCCTGGTCCGCCATGTCTTCCCCCTTGAATACTCTCTTATTCCTCCCTTGCCAAATGACCCAAATTATAATCGAGCGGGCTACCTGGGCTACGTATCCCCACCCTCAGTCTAATGGTAAATCTTCCGGTACACCTCCCAAGAGTACCCACTGTCGATCCCATTGTATGCAACTGTCTGAGATGGTGTGCCAGAACCTGGCCCACCACTTCCAGATGCGTGCTGACGCAGGGCAATCCCACCACAGGTGTATGGTGGTCTCGTAAGCCCACTGGCATCTTGTACACGTGGTGTCTATCTTCAATCCCCGATTTGCCAACCATATCGCCGAAGGGGTTGCTAAGACCGACAGCAACCACTGTATTGCTGCCAGACGTTGCGAAGGCATTAGCACCAGCTGAGCCCAGCACCGCGTAAGCGCCTGAATTACATCCTCTGCTTCTATTTGGATCACCCGAATCCACCTCTCCGTCGCCATCACTTGGGGGTTCCTGCCTGGCTCTTGCATTTTATAGCCTACTTCTGGAGAGTATTCTGAGATAAGGCAGTCCTCATTACTGCTGTTCCTGCCTCTCCAGCTCCATTGTGCTGGGTCTACTCGAAGCTTCGTGATCGGACGACCTTCTGCTATCAGCTCCGCTTCCCATTGACCGACGTCATCGCACCTTTCCTTGATTCTGACTTGCGCCAGTACTGGTGGGGGGCGAGGGAGCCCTTCTCCTTATTCCAATTTGACAAATTTGACTGAGGATTGGCCTGCCCTCGACCACTGTTGAAAGTTCCGTCGTCCTGAGGCTTCATACTCTGTCAGTTTCCAGAAAATCTCCAGTTGCTCATCTGTCTGATCCACGAACCAGGTTCCTGGTGGGTCTACACCTGTTGGGCTGAGCAGGTATACCCACTCCACTGGGACTGCTTCTTTGATTTGCTCCAGTTTCTCCTCTATTCCCTTCAAACCTTCCAGCTTCTCTTTTAGTTTCCCTGTTGAAATCCAATCCCCGCGGTATTCGTCCCAGATGTCTCTGAGTCGCACTACACCTTTTTCTGTCCAAGCTCTCCCAAAGCTCACCTTTGATCTGTTAGCTGTGAACCAGTCTCCTGTTCGAGTCTTAATGAATGGATTCTCAAAGAGGATCTGCTGGAGAACTTCCTGTTTGGACACCGGTGGATTACATTTGTCTGGCCTCACTTTCCTCCACGCCTTCAGAACACCAGCCCAGACTTCTGATGAGCACTTCCTTCGTAAGTAGGAGTCCATCCAAATGCAAGCCCAGGCATCGCTTTGTCGGCTGAGGTTCCATGCTTTGGCCAGCAGCTCTTCTGCAAGCAATATCCAATGCTGATCGTCCGTTGCGCATATCGCTTTAGTAACCCAGTTGGCGAGCATTGCCGCATTCTGCCTGTCTGGGTCTCTCAGTCCCAGACCCCCTTCTTTCCGCTGAAGGTTCGCACATCCCTTGCTGTTGATTAAAGTGAAAAAAAAAAAAAAAAACGTTCAAAAAGGGGATGGAGAACTTGCAAACGATTTATTTTTTGGTTAATTGGTGTTCTTTGTCTTCTCTTACATTTTCATTTCATTAAATAGATTTGCTGGTAGTACGGCCAAGCAGACGGCAGGCCATGGGCCGGCCGAGACAACATCCGGCCTTCTGGGCAGGCCAGCCAGCCAGTCGGCCAGCCGGCCGGCCGGACAAGCGGTATGTATGTCCGGGTTCCACAGTCAAAGAAAATATTTCAAAAATGAAAATCCGTTTTTCTAATATAAAAAAAAAACAAAAACATTTTCTTAGTTTTTCTCTCTTTTGAAGGTAGGTTAATAGGTCCACCAGTCTGGACCCCCTGCCCGGCCTGGCCGGGGGGGAGGGGGGGGGGGGGGGGGGG